AAAAAAAAAAAAAAAAAAAAAAAAAAAAAAAAAAAAAAAAAAAGAGGAAAGGGAAAGGAAAGGAAAAACAAAAGGGAAAGAAATAATTCCCATGTGGATGATCTATTCAACCAAGATGTTTATTCTTTAGGAACTGGAGGAGCATTTAACAAAAGCGTCTAAAGAACTAGCTAATGCTCGAACAGAATGTGCCRAGAGAGAATCAGTCATAGCTTCACTAAAACTCGACCTACAAAACAAGACAAGAACAACAGAAGAAGAGAACRATAGAATACGAAGCATTGAAGATGAGGTAAGGTTGTTAATTGTTATGCCCAACTATGACAGTTTGAAAACCGTTTCAGGGCCATAGCCACCAGTGCAGTTGGTCCAGTTTTAAGGACGGTGCCTACTAATTGAGAATCAATTATTTTTTTAAATGACTATGTGAATTATTTTAACCTATCAAAGGGTTGTCAAATTCTGGTTAGAAAAGTAGGGGTCACCATGCATTTAAAAGAAATAATRAGGCTTAGAAATCGTTAAAAAGTGATGACGTCATGATTTTACTAACACCAGGAAAAAWWTTTTTTTTCAAAAGATTTTGAGAAATTTCTAATTTAAATCGTCCTAAATGACTGACACTTTGTTTCTTTACTAAAATATACCCAATTCTACCATTAATTAAATAGTTGGCTATAATATATACAATTTTTTAGCTTYGTGCTCCCTATTTTCGATCAGTAGGTACATAAAGATTGTGTCCATATTCTTTTCAAAACCAATTATTTTTTATAAATTTCATTTCAGGAGGCTAATTTAGCATTTACTCTATCATTTARACGAAGAAAAAATAGGGGTATCCGGGCGTTTTTAAGAGATACGAATTTTTAAAGAACATTATTAGGGATCAATCTTATGTCGAATGCGTGACAAGCGTTACACAGCATACAAAACGGCGTGACAAACTCTGTTTTTGACGCGYTTGCACGTCAAGCTAAACATGCTGCTTCCTGCCATGCAAGCAAAAAACACAGAGAAAAACTCGATATTTATAAGCTTTATAGTTCCAGGAAGACTATTGGGTTTGAAGTGAAGTTATTATTGACTTTTTACTTTACAGCAGAAAGGAATTTCTGAAATATTTGGTACGTAATAAGATGATTTTTTAGATTGAGAACTCCAAAGTAAAAGAATTTCATGATGAAAGTGTTTAGCGACCAAAAAAAGATTTTCAAAACTATAATTACACACCTAGATATTAATAAATGGTAAATTTTCAATTTCATATGTATTTCTTGTTCGTTTTTATTCAAGTTTTATAGGATTAAATCTAAAGAAACGTTCGGTAAAAAGCTTTATTATTGAAAGGATTTGGTTTTTTAGAGCTATGAGTCTGCCATTTTTTCAAAACTTGCCCAAAGAAACTTATGATTCTTTGTCAATAATACTTAAACCTTAGCAAATTATCTCTTTAACAAGCCTGGGTTACTTAAGATCGTTTTCTGCTTTAACTTTCATTGAAAATAAACGTTTTGTTTAGTGCAATTCGAGTAATAAATTTTGAAATTCCTCGAATGTAGATGCGCAGTACGTGTGCGCGTGGACAATAGTAGGCACCGTCCTTAATATAACCGGACAACTTTCTACTTTCTTTTTCTCGTGTTCTGCTAATTCCCAAGTGCTTTATGACTGCACCACCAAACAAGGCAGTCTTTCAGAAGACTACCCCGTTCTTGACGATCACACTCACACCACTGGGTGAATAATCTTGCAATTTTTTTCTCCTGCAGAATAATCGTCTGAAGACTGCGTACAAGAACGATGATGAGGTAAGAGATGTGGTTTCGATTAAAGTCCAACTTCTCCTCAACGGCCACCCTCGGGGAATTTTCTGGTGTCCGCTAAGAAATAGATAGAGCATAGCCGATTAATAGCTGAGGTATTAATTCAATTAAAACCGTTTTTGTGGTAATAAAAAAAGAAAGAAACGAAGGAAGGAAGAATAGAAAATATTGGGAGAGAGAAAAGAAGCCTAGCTGGTTCGTAATGCACTACAGTAACAATATTTCACATCATACCCACTTTCAAGTATATTGTATAATATTGAATGGTCAAATACTAACTTTCTCCATGTTACCTTAATAACATCAGCTTCGTCGCTCGTTCCTCCATTCCTTGTATCAACGCATGATCACAGGCAAGGTTTACGGCAGCTCTCCTGACTCATCCCTTGGCAAGTTCTCCTGGACAGATATGAGTAACATGGTATCTGAACAAGTATCTTCTCAGATGAGTGAACTACACAGGCTTACTGAAAGGGTAGGTGGTCAAAGACCTCGTATCTGGCTCAGAGATTGTTTTAGGATTGGATGGTTTACTTTTCACGATTATTGTTATTATTTAATTTGTTTTATCGTGCCTTCTTAAGGTGGATCACCTCGAAGATGTTCTTACAAGGAAAGATGAAGCACTAAAGAACAGCCAAGAAGCGCATGAACAAACTGTTGCAAAGGTAATGCCAATCAGAATCGAGAAAAACTCGCAAAACTTAGGTGTAACTTTTCCACTTGAAATCATGGATTTCCAAGGCACCAAATGAAAAAAAATACGTTGCTAATAAGCGCTTGATAACATTGATACAATAACTAATGTGTCATATTTTTTTCCAGTCACCATCATCATCTTTATTTTTCTTATTTTTCTTATTATTTTTATTTTTCTTTATTCATCTTTATTTTTCACTGATCAATTGCCCTATAACACTATGACGTCACATCAAAACAATCTATTGTTTTAACGCTAAGGATCATGGTCGCCAGAGGGGGCAAAATAGCAGCAAAACGAATTAAATCATAATACAAAATGGTTAATTAGACGGGGAAAGGTGATAACAGATAAATGTTGTACTAAATATCCCATGTAAACAAGCTGTGACGTCATAATGTTATAGGTCAATTTTCACAAGCTTCGTGACACGGTTTTGCAGTGACGTCATTTCTAAGTCACTATTTTAGATCAGTAGGGTTCATATACCAGTTGAGTGGCATTATAAGATCCAAGCATCGATTTCATTTCATTTTGATCGTTTTGTTGGTGGTCCTATTAGCTTTCTTCAGCAATCAAAGAACGGGAAGTATCATGGAAGAAACAAAAAAGTGAACTGGAAGATCATTATAACAAGATCATCAGTGATTTAAAGAACAGATCAAAGGTATTTATACCCTGATTCCATTTGGAGTAATGGACTGAAGTGTCTTGATTTTGATGTTTTCCTGACCACAACTATTTTTTGTTAATTAACTTTCACCTTGATYGCCATTTTGACCTTGACCTTGACCTTTATTGCAGTCCTAATCATGACCTTGACCTTTTTAAAAACATGTTTTAAAACTTGATCATGACCTTGGCCTTTATTCCAACCTAACCTTCACCTATATTGGAGTTTGCCTAATGGTCGTGGGTCATGGGTCGTGGGTCGTGGGTACAAAGTCGTGGGTTCCATTTTTTTTCCAAATTTCCAAATTTATCATTTCTTCACTAT